GAAATAATCATATTTTTTCTACTGGTACATATCAATCAATATTTAGTTTAAATTGTCTATCAATTCCCCTAGTTCTTAAGCTGATCTTTGCCCTGGAAAAAATGAGAATAGTAGACAAACTTTCCCCAAAGTTTTGTTCACTATTCAGTTAAAAAAACAAAACAAAACAAAACAAAAAAAAAAAATACTTGGCACTTAGATCTGCTTATTATTTTGAAAAATGTAATTTTGGGGAGAAAATTTTTAATTATTTTTAGGAAGAGCCTGAAGAAACCCCAGTGAGATACTCTGTAGAGAGGTCCTTTGTTAGTGTAACATCTGACCTTCTATATCTTTGGAAATCATACAACTTGGCTAATGTAGTCCTTAAAGAATTAATCAAGCAGATTGTAAGGCCCTAGTTACAGTGGAGCCAGCCAATTATGAGTTGCTCAGAAATTCATCACTGGCATGTCCAACCACATTTTCCCACATAAAGATTAGTAGAAATATGTTGGAAACAAGGCCCATTCCCACCCCAGCACAGCTACAGCATGTGCTCAGTGAAATTCAACAAAAGTTTTGCTTTAGTAAAACAATTTGAAAATCTTTTTGATTCCTGTCTTTAACCTAATAACTTCTGCCAACATTGCAAAGACTGCCCTATTTAGTTAAAATCCAACTAGGAACTTTTATATTCAAACACAATTCTCAATTCAGTGCCTGAATTCATAAGTAAGTTGGTGAAAACCCCAAATACAATCTTTGTCTTTTTACTTTTGTGATAACACCCTCCTGAGCCTTATACTAAAGAGAAAGCTTTTTCTGCAAGAGGGAAATGAAAGGGGCCAGAGTAGATGAAGATTGGTTCTCTAAGGAGAGGGCAGTGCTGCTCTTAAATAAAGAAGCTCCTTTCAGATAAGCAGAATCAGATTCCAGTTCAGTTGGTTTGCTGGCTACCCTTACTTTGAACTCTCATATTTAACCCAGCAGGCTTCAAAGCAGGTGAGAAAATGACCTACCACTTAAAAGCAATTTTTCCTTTTTCAGGAATTCTGGCCTTGGAGAGTATCAGCTCTGATATCAGCACATTCCACATCACTAGGGATTTATGCAACTTTTTTCATTGCTGTATGTCTAATGTCAGACTAGGTTTTCATCTCAACCAGGAGGGAAAAAAAAAGCGGGGGTGGGGGCGCAGGCCTAACTTGTTAAAAATATTAAGTCTTATTCCACAGAGCATTATACCATGCAAAACTAGAGGCATTAAAACCACTACCATTCTAGTTCATTCTCTTCTGTTTATCAAAATCTGATGTGCCGTGAGTATTAAAAACCATTAATCCCCAGTGCCAGGCATCATAAAAATTTGTAACAAATACATTTTAAGAAATTAAAATTGAATTTACTCTAGCAAGTGAATTAATATAAAAAGTGTTATATGAGGGAAAGACAATGGTAACAATAAATAAATTTAGATTTTTTTTTTTTTTAATTTTGAGACAGGGTTTCATTAAATTGCTTAGGGCCTCTCTAAGTGGCTAACACTGGCTTTGAACTTGTGATCCTCCTATTTCAGCCTCCTGAGTCACTGGGATTACAGGCACACACAACCATGCTCAGCTTAGGATATTTTCTTGAATGGCTTCACCTTACCAAGTGAAAATATAAATACATTTCAAACATATTTCATAATCTGGATGTGGTGGTACAGCTATATAATCCCAGCTATCAGGAGGCTGAGAGCTCAGGAGGATGACAAGTTTGAGACCAGACTGGCCAACTCAGACCTTGTCTTAAAATTAAAAAAAAAAAAAAAAAAAAAAATGGGAATATAGCCTAGTAGTAGCAACCCCTGGGTTCAATCCCTAGCATTGGAAAATAAAACAAATATGTACTTCATCCTTTCCCGACTTAACTGAAAATCCTAATAGAGGCAGCTTGCAATATGCCAACAGGCTTTATTCTATAAGGCAGTTTTCCAGTGCCAAAAACTTGAAACAGTTCTCTCTTTGTGGTTCACATACACATAATATGCTAAGGGTATAATGCTAATAATATTGTTTAAATGACACTCAAATTACCATTTATGCTTCAGTATCTATGGAAAATGCATTTTGATTAGGATACAATTATTAGGATACAACTCCTCCAAACAAGGAGAAGGCTCTTTTGTGACAATGATGAAGGGAACAACAGCTAACACCTACTTTTTATTGTGGGCAGACATGGTTCTAAATACTTGATATATTTTAAGCTCATTTAACCCTCACCAAAATCTATATGCAGTTAGCACTATTCTCATTTTACAATTAAAGATAGAAAAGGTTGGGGCTAAGGTTGGGGCTCAGCAATAGAGCGCTTTACTAGCATGTGTGGGACCCTGGGTTTGATCCTCAGCAACACATAAAAATAAATAAACAAAATAAAGGTATTTGTCCATCTACTACTAAAAAAATTTTTTTTTAGAAAGGGTAGAAAAGGTTAAGAAACTCACCTGTGGCTGCATAGCCAATAAATGTAAGAGCTAGAATATAAAGTAAAGTAGTATGGTCCTCAGAGTCTCTGCTCATAACCACTCTGCAATACTTCTCCACCTGGATGATATGGCACTAGCAAGTGTTCTGCATCCCTCATATTGGTGAAGGAGAACAGAACAAGGTTTCTTAAGCTTAATATGCATATAGAATAACCTGGGGATGTTGTTAAAATGTAGATTCTGATTCAGGATGTCTGCAGTGGTGCCTAAGGCTCTGCACCTTTAACCAGTTCCTGGGTGAAGCTGGTGCTCCTAGTGCATGGAGTGAATAACTAGAACTTGGGCCTCTAGTTCCCTTACTATTTTTTTGTCAAGGCATATTTGTAAGTTGTGTTTATGAACTGGAGACTGCCCATACTATAATTATTTTCCATTAACTTTCAAATGAGACCTGCCTTTGGAACTACCATATGAGAAATGCTGCTGTTACCAACCACACAAATACCCAAAGATAGTGAATAAATGTTTGTTTTATTGTTCATCAACTAAAATCACAGTATATCAATAACTTTTGGTCTAAAAAAGAAACTTTTCACTTTCAAATATGTAATTCTTCACTCTCAGACGCTGCTAGAGAAATGCTAAAGAACTTATGCTAAGTAATCTTTAAGACTCTTCAGGTGCAATTAGGTAAAGGCAGTCACTATACACCAATAAGGATGAATAGAGCATACACTGACTACACTTTGCATTAATTTTAGCTAGTAACTCATGGAACTATACTACTAACAATTGCTACATACCTATTTCAGATTTTAGATCTCCTTGCTCTACACCTCCTCCTTCCCACTCCACTGCCCTGAAAGAAACCCATGGATCATCCCTCCCATTGCTTGCCTGTATCTTTTAAATACACAGGTATGCCTTTTTCCTAGCTATTAAGTGAATGGAATTCCCTTTTTAGTCCTGTTTTTTGTTTTTGTTTTGTTTGTTTTTTCCATACCAGATTACACAGTAAGGTCATTTCAGTTTGAGATGCACTCAATTCCCAATCAGCACACTACAAACAACAAAGTTATGATATAATTAATCACAAACTTCCTTTTTACATTAAAAGGAAACAGAATAGTCAGTTTCCAACTTAAATATCTATACTCCCTGAACAACAGTGGAAATTCATTCTTCTTGAATCCTGTCCCAGAATCAATGCATTCTCAGACTCCCAGGCCTATAGCCAGTGGCAACTTAACACATTGTACAGTTGACCTGCAGGGAGAAAGGGAAACCAGTGCTCTTACCACTGGTGCCAGAGAAAGCCAACTGGTCTGTAAGGCACACAATAAACTATTCTTAAGGCAAGCAAAGAAATTGTGAGGGAAACAGGAAGTCAGAATGGAAGCATATAGGAAAAAAATACAGAAAATAGAAGACCAAGTAAGGACTAGTTTTTCTATGGCTCTGAGTGCTTTTATATTTGGGAATATAATGAATCAGCATTTTAAATATTTTCAGGTTTTAACTTTTATTACCTAGTAAGACTGCAAAGATGACAAGAAAAGATGGATTTCTAAAAAGTCTTCAGAGATTTTAGGAGAATTATCTTTGGTAATTTTACTTTGAGCCAGTGACAATAATTAACAAATTTATATAGAAGCATGAATAGTGATGGAACCGCCTCTTTAATATCAGTCCTTAAGTACTTAGTGAGTTGGGAAGTGGACAATTCAAAATTAAAGAGTAAATATAAAAATAAAGGCCTTTCCATAGCTCTATATCCAAGATTTTGGAAGGTCTACATGAACAAACAGACAAATTAAGAGAACCTTTGAACCTTTTGAAGCACATTCTGAATGCAAGGCAAACATTCTGTCTGTCCCATTTTACCTACTTATTCTCCATCCTAGTTGATTTTCAAGTTCAGCAAATCCTTAGAACTAATGATTTAATGTAAATGGAAAAATCAAAAGGCTTGTTTACAAAACAGGGAGCTTATTCTTTTTTTGTACTGAGTATTTAACTGAGGGGCATTTTACCACTGAGTACATCACCAGTTCTTTTTATTTTTGAGACAAAGTCGAGCCAAGTTGCTGAGGGTCTCATTAAATTGCTGAGGCTGGCCTCGAACCTGTATTCCTCCTGCCTTGGCCTCCCACGTTGCTGGGATTACAAGCATGCACCACCATGCCCAGCAAAACATGGAGATTTTTAAAGGCCAAAGAAAATGCAATTATGTTAAAAAAAATAATTTGAATGTTCTTTATCTAGTAGTGAATGCTGTTTATCACTAGAAGTTATCTACAAAGAACAACTTTATAAAGTTATAGCATTGTATTCTTTAAATTTTAAAGCAACAGAAGTATATAGCTCAAATCACCAGAAATTTATGTTTGACATATTTGTGGTAGTAACTTTACAAATTGATTCCTGTAATTTACTATAACAAATATCTTTCACTGCTCATCTGGGTTAGTCCAAACAAACCAGAGATGGTGTCTTGTGTGTTTTACAAATATTCTACACAAGTCCTTGAGATCATACTTACAGCTTTAGCAAAAACACCCATGATTTCAGGAAATTGGTGTGTGAGAAGGGCTATCATTGCTGTAGAAGAACACAGTCCTGCTGTAAAATGGATGAAAAAAGGAAGCTCCTTCTTTGGATAAACAGAAACATGATGAAAGGCTGCAAAGGAAAAAGAGAAGGAATGAATTTTATTTTACAATATGATGTAAACCAGTCTTAATATTTTCAAATTAAAGTTATATATCTAAAAAACCAAAAGGAAAAATTTTTAAAGAAAAAAAAGTTATCTCTAGCCAAGGAAGGTAAAAGAAATTAATCCATTATTAATTCTAGCATCAACAGTATATCCACATAGCCAGATGACTGTTTTGGGGTTTGGGAAGAGGATGGTATCGTGGGAAAGAACATTGATTACAAAGTCATGCTGAGGTGGTTTTGAAAAAGAGCTTTGTCACTTATTAGCTGTGTGATCATGAATAAGTTGCTAAACTCTGTAGAAGTTGCTATGGAGTTGTTATGATGAACACTATAAGTACTCAATAAATGAAAGTTGTTATTAATTCTTCTTCTTTGGAAGCTGAGACTAGTATAAAGAAACAGACATGTCATGGGGATTCCTAGAACCACCAGTTAATAATAATTTTACACAGTTATTAATATGTTCTATATGTGCCTTTCATTGAGCACTGTAAAAATTAAACTAGAAAACCAAAGCCCTAGAATTCTGGCTATAAATGAATCCCTTGTCTTATTTTACCACATTTGTATACTCATGTATCATTTTTCCAGTGGCTACAGATTTCATTACCAATTATACTCAAGTATTTATATTTTATTTAAAATTTGAAAATATCTGAATAATAATATGGAGATGAGCCTATTATAGTGCCTGACAGAGCTATTATAAGACTTAGAATAGCTCAGGAAGTTGACTGCTCAGGGCTGGACACTAACCCAGGAATTCCTGATGTAATATCCTGCATTAGTAAGGGATGACTAATTCGGTGCTGAACCAAGGTCAGCTATAAATTTCACTTTTTTAAACATAATGATTAACAGAGAGGATTACACCTAAGCTTCTTTCAATAGCTTTATGCATCATATTATATTCAGAAAGTATATACGAAAAGCCAAACTCATTTAAAAAATCCAGAAAATTGCCATAACTTTGAGCCATGTTTAAAGTAAAAACACAATGGAACTGAATTTTTTTAAAAATTAGAAACATTAGAAACTGTAGACAACACTGTGCTTTAATACCCAAAGAACCAGCAATCCCCTTTGCCCTATACATCAGCTATGAAGTTGACTTCTTCCAGCAAACCAAGAGAAACTCTGATATTTCAGAAGGCAGGGAATAAGACAGTAGAATTAATAATATTAGCTAAACAGTATAGCATTTTATGGCTTATAAAGTGCTCATTTGATTATTTTTCAATAACCTTGACATAGATAGCCTTCTTCCCATTTTATAAGGTAGAAAACTGCATAGCTTTAGTGGGAACATTTTCTAAAATATGAGATTTTTATACTGTAGAAGAGAACTAATTACTTCTTTTTGGATTGCTTTCTGTAGATTCATTTGTCAGTCAATGTTTGGCTAATACATCAATATAATGGATGACTGATTTCAGTACAGAAACACTCCCTTGGAACGAAAGTTCAAATTTCATCATTGGCTTGTAGAGAAAAATTTATCAGGAGGCATAAAAGACAAGTAAATAGCTATGTGAACTAGGGGAATAGTTCAAGCCTGAACTTATGAGGTCCATAAGCAAATTCCAGAATGCTGTAAGTCATATCAAGATTGAAGGAGAATTAAAAACAAAAAACATTAAGTACTCTTGGGTATTAGAACTCCACATTATTAAAAAGTTGTTCACTCTAACAGAAAAGTAAGAGACAGAAAAAAATAGCAATATATACTGTAATCAAACAAAATCCTCCAGTCTTCTACTTCTACCTCCTGGAGTTTGCACCTATATGGATTTAGAATTAATACAGGCTTGCCAAAAAATAAACTGTCTGGTCTTATAGCTTATGGCTCAACATATAAAAATAACTCCTGTTTTATTAATATCAATATGTAAAGTGGGCCTTATATTAGACAACCCTTATAATAATTTACAAAGAAGCATTATTTTAATTGCCTTACCTAATATCTCAGATACTCCTTATTTGAAATTTTTTTCTTCCTTTTGGTTTCTAGGATATCTACTTCTGGCTCTTGTTCTGGCTTTCTGACCACTCCTTCACTAAATTCTCAACTATTTTCCTGCCATCAGTTCCTTAGACATTTTTGTGCCCCTATGGTTCTACACTTAGTTCACTTCTTACACTATACAGTTTCCTTGAGAGATCTCAATCGTGCCTAAGACTTCTTTTGCTATCTAGAGATATATGGAGAAAGAGATGCCAGGACCCCTGGAAATTTTATTTACATAGCCTGGTCCTGTCCTTAGGCGACAGCTAAATGGACCAGAAATAAACATGTGGATAAATCTGATTCTCTTTCATAGAAGTTGCAGGAATGAGATATTATTCATTTTGTATTGTTTGTGTGAACTGATGACATGTAAACACAAAGCCACAGGGGCATCAAGTTAGACCTCTTCAGTGTCTACAAAAGGAAAGTCAAACTGCAAAGAGAAAGATATAATAAAGTAGATAAATTGGGAGAAGCAGAAATAAGAAATCATATAAAAATAAGGAGGCAGGAGTGGGGGATGTGGCTCAGTGGTAGAGCGGTAACTAGCATGCACAATGCCCTAAAACCCCAGCACACCACACACACACACACACACACACACACGGCAGGATGAGAAAGGAAAAACAGAAAGTGAGAACAGGAAAAACTGAAAAAAGACAGCCAGAGATATGCAGACAACTGGCTTCTAGAAATCCTAGTGGCCATTTACTTCCTGATCATATCCTTTATGACATCCAACTATTTAAGTGTTGTTTTGGGTTTTTTGATGACTTGGTGTTTTTCCAACAAATTCCCATTTATGATGAGGTTAGAATGGTTGGAATGGTTCTCTTTTACTTATAACAAGAGTATGTGTCCAACATCTATTATGTGTATATCATATACATATACTTTTCTCTCTCTCTCTCTCTCTCTCTCTCTATATATATATATATATATATACACATCTTAGACACATACATTATACAGATACAAAATATAAAGACTTATGTGTATGTAAAATTGATTATGTAATAAAATATTTAAGTACACATACACACACATATATTTATACACATAAACATGCATTTGTGCATAAATAAGTACAACATTATACAAACAACATAATCAAAGCCTGAACTTATCTATTTTCTCCACCTCTATTCCCAAACCTGCTCCTCCTGCTGTAGAAAAGATCTGCCATTCTCAGAGTCACTGAAGTCAGAAAATTGAGATTCATCCTTGATTTCCTGAAGAGATAGGCTCAAAGTTTCCTTAAAATCTCTTCCAAACACACAGCATTTAACACATTGTTTATCTATCAGTAACTTTCTATTAACCATGAGCAGCCTAGGAGTTCAGAATAGGGTAGGGAGGAAAAGATACTAATTTTTAACATTTTGTTGAGTACTTACAATGTGCCTGGCATCTTTAGAAGAATAAGTTAATGAATCTAACTAATTTGAACAAAATTTATTGAATTATCTTTTATGGCGAACCTTATAAGAGAGAATTACAGGGACAATAAAGAAAATCCTGGCCCTCAAAGAGTTTACAATCTAATGTGCATATATGATTATACAACCAATGTAATTCTACATGATGTATAACAAGAAGAATGAGAAGTTATACTTCATATATGTATAATGTGTTAAAATACATTCTACTGTCATGTATAACTAATAAGAACAAATAAAAAAGATCTATATAATTAAAAAAAGAGTTTATAATCTAGAAGAGGAGCTCTCAAAGTGCTCAGTATATTTATCTCAACAGATGATGGAAAATAAACGACCCTAGGAGAGAAACAGCAGCATACTTAGTTTGCCATAACCTCTCCACTAGAATATTCATCTATCTGAACTTTTCAGCTCATTAAATTTGATGATTGTAAAACTGCAACTTTACTTCTCTAGTCTTCAGTTCTAATGGTTCAGTATAGTAAAAACTGGCACAGATTTTCATCATGAGAAAAGACGGTACTAGTGTTTAAACCCTTTCACATGCTTACTTATCAGTTAAATCATAAAATATAAAGTTAAACAGAAATTTAGCAGTTTACATAGAAAAGGAGTGAGGCCATGTTTAGATTACTCTTTTAAGAATTCCTTTGAGAGTTTATTCTTTCTTCCTAAAGGCAGAGACTATACTGAAATACTCTCAACAATCTTGAACCCACTGACTTCTGGTTCTTCTACTTCTCCTCTGACTGTTCTTCAAACTGGGAAAGGTAGCTCCTCTAACTTTGTTCCTTATAAAAACTGTTTGGGGGCTGGGGATGTAGCTTAGTGGTAGAACACTTCCCTGGCAAAGACCTAGGTTCAATTCCCAGTACCACAAAACAAACAAAAACTGTTCTGGCTAATTTGGGTCTTTCCATATAAATTTTAGGGTCAGATTGTTATTTTTTTGCAAAATCACTCCTGGGATTTTGATGGAGATTGTATTAAATCTATAGATTAATTTGAGGAAAACCTCCACCTAAATATACTGGGTCTTTCAATAAATCAACATGAAATGTCTCTCCATTTATACAGATTTCTGTCAGCAATTTTATACTTTTTAGTACAGTTGCAATTTTGTTAAATTTATTCCTAAGTATCTTAAACTCTGTTATTGAGATTAGGATTATTTTCTAAATTTCACTTTTGTGATTTTTATTGCTAGTATATAGATATAAAATCAATTTTTTTTTCGCTAGGAATCAAACCTAGGGCTAATGCTTATTAGGCAAGCATTCTAACACTGAGCTATACTCCTAAACCCAATATTTGAATGTTGGTCTTATAGACTACAACATTGCTGAACTCATTTATTTGTTCTAATAATATTTTTATGAATTTCTTAGGATATGTTACATAGCAGATCATATCATGTCATCTGTGAATAAAAGCGGTTTACTACTTCTTTGTCAATATAAATGACTTTTTTTCCCCATGGCTGATTACACTGGCTATGACCTCTAGTTCAATATTGGACAGAAGGTAAGAACTGGTATCTTGGCTTACTCCTGATCTTAAGGGGAAAGCATTAAGTATGATTTAATTGTTTTTTGTGGACATCCTTTATCAAGTTGAGAAAGTTCCTTTCTATTTGTAGTTTGAGAGTTTTTATCATGAAAGGGTGTTTGATTTTGTGAATATTTTTCTGCATCTATTGTCCTTTATTAACACAGTGTTGTCATGTTTTCAGATGTTAAATCAACTGTGCACTTGTGAGGTAAATCCCACTTGGTCATGATATATAATCCTCCTCTTATGTTGCTGAAGTCAGTTTGCTAATATTTTGTTGAAGATGTCTGTGCCCATATTCATAAGCCTTAATGTTATAGTTTTTTTTTTTTCTTTTTTGTGGTACTGGGGATTGAACCCAGAGCCTCATGTATGCTTGGCAAGCACTTTTCCTTTGAGTTACATCTCTAGCCCTAATCCATTTTATTTTATTTAAAGATGGGGTCTCACTAAAATGCTGAGGCTGGCCTTGAACTTGCAATCATTTTGCCTCAGCTTCCCAATTAGCTGATTACAGGCAAGAACCACCATGCCAGGTCTCAGTTTTCTTTTCTTATTATGTCTTTGTCTGGTTTTGGTATCAGGATCTCACCAAATGTGTTAAGGAATGTTCACTCCTTGCTATCTGCTTTCTGACATGAGTTTGTGAAGGGTTAGTATTATTTCTTTAAAAAATACAAGTAATTGGGGCTGGGGATGTGGCTCAAGCAGTAGCACGCTCGCCTGGCATGCGTGCGGCCCGGGTTCGATCCTCAGCACCACATACAAACAAAGATGTTGTGACCGCCGAAAACTAAAATAAATAAATAAATAAATATTTTTAAAAAATAAAATAAAAAATACAAGTAAGAAGACTGTTTTTATCTTTACTTTTTGTGTCCTTTGTGCATCTAGCACAGAATTTTGAACAATAAATATTTGGACATCAATTGAATTATGAAAATAGTCCTGTAAGTGGTTATAAAACTATTTAAACAGTGTTCCAAATATAAACAAAAAGGACTTTTAAAATGGACAATACTTAGGAAATGCTGTGGTTTGATTGTAGTTTGTATCTCCTCCCCCTGAGGTTCATGTGCTGGGAACTTGGTCCCTAGGATAGCCAGTATTGGGAGATACAGCTTTCAAAAGGTAGGGCTTGGTAGGAGGTCCTTGGATCATTGGTGGCATGCCCTTTGAGGGATTGTGGGAAGCCAGTCTCTCTCTGCTTCTAATTCAAGATGAATCACTTGATGTTTCTGCACATGTTCCTGTCAATGTTATCTGCTTTCTGACATGATGCTGCCACTGTGACCACAGAGCCTACACAGTGCCATTTCAAATCCCAAAACTGTGAGCTAAATAAATCTCTTTTTTTCCACAAGTAGCCTATGTCAGGTATTTTGTTGCAGTGATGAAAAGGTAACTAATAGAGAAAACAACCTAAAAGTTATCTAAACAATTATAAGCTTAATAAAACTAAAATATTTACTTACTAGGTAAGAGCTCTCTATCAGCAGTCTCTGTGCAGCTAGGATAAGGGTAAAATAGATGTCCTTTCTCTAATGGGTATGGAATCATTCTAAAAGCTGAAAAAAAATACATATGTTGACATTCAATTCTGTCTTATTTACCATCTAATGTATGCTATAAATAAAAAACTTATCTTGGAGATATACTTTTAAAAGTCTTTATATAATATTTTATTTTCTTTCTTAGAGCAAGATTTTAGATGAAAGACACACACAAAAGCAAAAGAATGAAACAAAAAAAGAATAGGCAAGACTTTAAAGTAGAGAACTATAAGTGTCTGGGCTGACTAGAGTAAAAGTAAAAGTACTGGCTGGAGCCTTCTTTGTCTCAGTCTCTTCACTATAATCATGGACTTAACTCCACAAGTATAAATTCTGCTCCTAACAGGAACCTTCATAAAACTATAATGTATATAACTGTTGTGGTCCTAACTATTGGCAATCTAAAGGAGATCTAACTTCACATGTGAGGTTCACCATGTGAACCTTAATCTAGTTCAGGGATCACGAAAGTGCACCCCTTTGGCTAAATAACTTTTTGTTATATTTTGTTTTGTTAGAGATCAATCCCAGGACATGGTTCATGCTAAGTAAGAAATCTACCACTAAGCACACCTCTAACCCAAACTGTTTGCTTGATTTTTTGCCTTTTTTTTTTTTTTTTTTTTGCCTTTTTTAAGACAGGGTCTTGCTAAGTTACCCAGGCTGCCCTCAAACTTGTAATTCTTCTCCCTAAGCTTCCCAAGTAGCTGGGATTACAGGTGCCCAACAGTGTATCTGGCTCTACACTATTTGTGTAAATAAAATTTTATTGGAACATAGACATGCTATTCATGGGTTGTTTCTGTGCTACAAGACTTGAGTAGATGTACAAAGACTAGAAGGCCTGCAAGGTCTGAAATAATTATTCTTAGTCCTTTACAGAAAAAGTTTGTCCACCCTTAATTTAGATCATCACCAACTCTTGCAGAAGATATTATCAAGAAATCCTTATTGATCTATTCCACTAAATAGTCATCAAAATCATGATAAAGTTTTTGTTTTTTTCTTTAGTGGTTAGTTCTAAAAACGTTTGTCAAAAATACAGATTTTGTTTGCCACAAAGTAGTTATTTGCCCAAACTTATTCAGCAAATCAGTTATCATTTGAGGAAATCATTCATTAAGATACATAAAATGGGGCTAGGGATATAGCTCAGTTGGTATAGTGCTTGCCTTGCATGCATAAGGCCCTGGGTTTAATCTCCAACACCACCAAAAAAAAAAAAAGATACATGAAATACAGTATAAATCATATATTTATTGAAAATAATCATATTGTTATTGGAAATTCCTTATGTTTCAAGCAGATGGACAGGCATTAAAAATACATACAAGATGAATGAGATAGAGCACCTGGTTTTGAGGGCCTTATAGATCACTGACAAAGTCTAATTACTCAAAAACATAAAAAAATAAAGCATTCAGCAACTCAAGTTCATAATCTCAGGGTTTTGTTGTTCTGTTTCATTTTATTTCAGTATTAGGGATTGAATCCAGGGACATTCTACCACTGAGTTACATCTTTTACCCTTTTTGAAAAAAATCTGAAGACATGGTCTTGCTAAATTGCCCAGGTTGGACTTGAATTTGTGATGCTCCTGCCTCAGCCTCCTGAGTTGCCACCATGATCAGCTCATAAACTCAGTTTATTAATCTTATTATTGTCAATGTCAAGCACAGAGTACAACTGTTAGCAAATGGTTAATACAGAGGTTCCCAAATTTTCTTGGTTCAAGGACACATGGTGCTCTTTGTGACAGTTTTACTTTTGTTTGTTTGGTTGGTTGGTTTTTGGAGGAGATACTGGGAGTTAAACCCAAAGCCTCACATGTACTAAGTGTATTCTATATTTTTCTTTTGTTTTGTGGTGCTGGAGATTGAACTCAAGTCCCCATGCATGCTAAACACATGCTTTACCACTGAGCTATCCCCTCTGCCCTGTTCTAATATTTTAAAAATTGAACTGGTTTTGTTTTGTTTTTTGGAGTAGTGGGAATTGAACTGAGGGTACTCAACCCCTGAGACACATCCCTGGCCCTATTTTGTATTTTTGTTTAGAGATAGGGCCTCACTGAGTTACTTAGCAACTTGTTTTTGTTGAGACTGGCTTTGAACTCATGATCCTCCTACCTCAGCCTCCCAAGCCGTTGGGATTACAGGTGTGCACCACCACGTCTGACTTTTGTTTTGTTTTTAGATGTAAAACTATTTTCCTCATGACTACCATTAACTCTATTCTCATTTTTTAACATGGTAAAATACACGTAATGCAAAATTTACTATTTTAACCACTTATGTGTCTAGTTCAGTGGCATTATATATATTCACATTGCTGTGCAACCATCATCACCATCTATCTCCAGAACTCCTCCATCTTTCCAATATGAAATTCAGTATACATTACATAATAATTCCCATTCTCACCTTTTCCCAACCTTCTGGCAACCAATGCACTAGGTACCTGCCTTGTTTGAGTGGAATCACACAACATTTGAGTGTCTGCCTCATTTCTCTTAGCATAATATCCTTGATTAGTACAATAGCACGACCACATTAAAAAACTTATAAACCAAAGGGGCATACATTTTCATTTTCTTTCTTTACATTTAACTTAAATGAACAAATGGCAAAATATCAACAGTTTCTCAATCTGCTTTTCTTAAATGGGGCATTAATATAAATACACTAACTATTTCTTCTACAATAAACCAAACATAATGCCGCTGAGCTCACTTTGAAACCAAACTTAACAACAAATCCTTACAGAAACACAGACAATCTCATTTGAAAAGTCTGCTCATGAATACAATGAATAGTCAGAGATTAGTATTACGTTTGGAAAAAAATACTTACTGCCTTCCCATGTACATTGCAACAGATTAAGAGCACCTTCTATTCGTTTCCAGTGCTGAAGATGAAAGAAAGCATAGGCAATTGCTTCACTATCACCTCGCTTCAAAATGTGTTCTGGAGGTAAAATTAAACTTTTCATCTCTAGTAAATACTGCAAGAATAACATGCACATAAACAAACAACAGAAAAAGAAATGTTAAACTGTGTTAAATTCAAACACCCACAAAAACATATTCAAAATGTTATAAAGCAAATTCATTAAAAACACATTAATCTTCATGAAATGACATGAAGGTCCTACAGAAACTTGTGTATAAACTGCTTATATATGCAAATTCTAAAAATCAGAATGTTCCTATAGGTAAAAATAAGGCAATACATGGCTTATGTGACCTTACTAAATACAAAATGAAGACTCAAGCTCAGTAAATAATGTGAGAATATTTTTAAATGTGAAATTATCAAATACAGTTTTGAAATAATACTTTGTGACAACATTCAATTCTTTTTTTCTTTTATTCCCATTTTATGGGTAAAAAAACAATTGTGGAAAAAATGCAATTAAATTAATACTTATTGAATGCAAACACTGTGCTTATTAGGGAATACCAAAAACAAAAACAAAATGATAAAAAAAAACCCTACCTGTTCTCTGGAGCTTCATATTATAATGGGAAGGTTTCTTAAGTAAATAAGTATAACCAAACTATGTCAAGGGTCTTACTAGAGGTACAAACAATGTACATGGCCACAAGGATAAGAAATTGTTTTTTGTTTTCATTTTTTTTAAAACAGCTTTATTAAGATACAAATTCACCTTAGAATTTACCCAAAGTGTACAATTCAACGTTTTTTATTATATTCACAAATATGTGCAACCATTGCACTTATTTCAAAAGGTAACACTGTACCCTTTTATCATTCTCTACTTCCTCATTTGCCTAACACCCTTAAGCAAGCACTAGCCTATTCTGTGTTTCTATAAATTTGCCTGTTCTTGACATTTCATACAAATGGAATCTTATCATATGTGGTCCTCTGTGGCTATTTTCTTTCATTTAGCATATTTTCAAGGTATATCCAGGTCATAGCACACATTGGTACTTCATTCTTTTTTATGGTTAAATAATATTCTTGTGTGTATGTGTGTGTGTGTGTGTGTGTGTGTGTATTTTCAATTCATCAATAGACAGATATTTGGTTGTTTTTACCTTTTTACTATTTTGAATAAGACCGTTAAAAATATTTGTGGGGTTCGGGATGTGGCTCAAGTGGTAGCGCGCTCGCCTGGCATGTGTGAGGCACTGGGTTCGATCCTCAGCACCACATAAAAATAAAGATATTGTGTCCATCTAAAACTAAAAAATAAATATTTAAAAAAATATTTGTGTACAAGTTTTGTTGTGAACAATGTTTTCATTTTTTTTTAAGGAATTACCTTGGGGCAAGAGTGCTGCGTGCATGATAACTCTATGTTTAGGAGATATTATGATTTAGGGTCTAGAGATAAACCACTCTATGGGATTTGAGCTAATATTTAAAGATGGATAGAAACTAGATAAGCAGACTGGGAGTAGGGAGTGAAGAGAAGAACCAAAGGACATATTCAAAGCACAGGCTCTTCTTGAAAACAGGCACTGAACCAGAAAAGCATAGCGCAAGATGCATGCATTGAAGGTATTGGTGAATATTCCTGTTATAGTCTATCAATTCTTCTTCATATATGAAACTGAATTCTCTCTCAAATGCTTCAGAAAAATACTCATCCTAATATTTTAATCCATAACAAAAGCAGTATAATCACAGTTATCACAAATCATGTATAATACTTTTAGGAAGAAAGATACAAAATTAACCACTTGTACGTTATCTTTACTATTAAGTGCTCAACTTAAAACAAAACCTTTTAAAAAAATGTTTAGTTAGTTAAATACTTCCTCCAAAGACTGAGGCCAGAATGCACTTCCCTTATATAACCAGTCTGAAACAACCTCTTTAGTCCTAAACAACTGGATGTTAATTATGAGTCATAAGGTCCAAACCATATTAACTTCTTTTGTAAAATATAAAAAGAGAAACATTCCAGATATGTCTCAGAAGAGATATTCTCACATTTCAAGTTAAAGTATCCCAGGCTGTTAATATAAACTGCGGTAACTATAAATTAAAGAGCTGAACTTGTAAAACACTTAAAGACTGCTTATAAGCAATAAAATTCCAGGGAGAAATTTTATATCAAAAGGTTATAGTGGTTTCAAATTTAAACCTTAGGTTATTAATACATAGGTACTCATCATATTGATAGATCTGAAATAATTTCTTCTTTATGAAATGTGCCTCTCCAATTATTACTGAGCTAATGCCCATCTTTAATTACTTTTACTCTTGATGTCTCTCTATGGCTCTGTCCTCAAAGTGTAAGAATGCAGTCTGCTCATCGATTTATTTTAGCAGATGTCACAAACTATGAGATTATTTACTAATCCAGTTTGGGGACTTAACATTTCCCATTCAGTTTCTTAAAGGAATGCAGCAGAGGTTGTGTCCTGGTCAAGCAAAGCCCATTTGCTGCCTGGTTGGGTTTTTTCCCCTTAGTGCCTTGGGCCTATATTCAAGAGGGTAATATTCTTTCTAATCCTCTCTAATCCTTGCCCATTTTTTTGAAACACAGTAAAAGATCACTCACACCAGGCAGCTGTGGGAAAATGGACTCAAATAGCTGACCTCTGACATGACTCCTTACGCTCTTTGCAAGTGCACTAAGAGCTTCTTCAGTAAGATGCAAAGAAAATGTGGTAATCAGTGCCTTCACCATCATAAAAAGAGTATCTCATTTTCAGAAGAAAACTGTTTATTTCTTAAACCAGGTACTTTTGATTGAAGTTCTGCTTTATTTTATAGAGAAGAAAAAATTCCAAATCATTTTTAGAGAGTTTTGGAACCCAACAGTTTAGTTTAAAACCCCAATTTAGCATACTGATAACCACTTAGCAAATGTAACCAAAGTTATTCAGTTAACAATGATTCAGTAAAACATGCGTTTCAGAAACTATCAATTTGATTTATCAAGAAAACACTTTTTGAATAACTATATACCTATATTTTCACTGCTAAATAATCTTACGTGTCAATTCAGATAAGAATGAACAACATATGACATCCATTAGGAAATTATAATTCAGGATTTTATATTTTTAAATATTTTGCTATTTAATTATTTTTTATACTACCTTATTTTTTATATCAGCAAATGTGCTTTTCAATTTGACTTTAAAGCAAAGCAATTTTTCAATTTGACACTGAAATAAAATTTGGTTCCCAAAATATAAGAGAAATATTTCAATTTATGAAAATGTATCTAAAGAGCTCAGGGCAAGTTTATGGTAAAGTGTGTGCTAAGCATGCATAAGGCCCTAGGTTCAATCTCCGGTGCAAGCATGTGAACACACATATGAGCATTTAAAATAAGTTATAGTTTTATATTTATTTGATCACCTTCATAAAGTGATATTCTGGAATTTCTGCTACATATGCTGTAAGTTGCTGCACAATAAAAACTATCTTTCATATTCTACTACAGCATCTAGAATATTACAGTACCCAAAGCAAGCACCAAAATAATGAACTGAGCTGACCTGATATACACAGCTAAAATATTTTAAAATTCATATTTCAGTTTTTACTTAAAGATATTTTCTAACTCTCTGCGCAAATTAAAACCAAACAAAAACAAAAAACCTCCAACCCCCACTATAATATACCGACTCCATTTTTCTCCCAAAGTAGGATCAAACTGTTATGAATCATTTTTTACTTCATACATTTTGTAATCTGTATCTATATAAATCTAACAGTTAAAATTATTATAGAGTAGTCCATTAAAAATGGAATTAAACTGGGCATGATGGCACGTCTATAATCCCAGCTTACTTGTGAGGCTGAGGCAGAAGGATCTCAAGTTTGAGGCCAGCCTAGGCAACTTGGTAAGACCCTGTCTCAAAATAAAAAATAAAAAGAGGGCTCAGTGGTAAATGTTCCCTGGGTTTAATTCCAGAATTGCAAAATAAAAAAAAAAATAAATGTGAATTATTTTATAATGTAAGAAATAAGATCATACTGGAATTCACTACCATCCTTAAAAGGTTAAAAACAGTATCATTAACCAAAATTTGTAAAACGTTTTAAAAAAATGGTTTAAAAAGTTCAAGAAATGATGGGCATAGTTTTGCACTCTGAATTTAACTTAGTCTTTCAAGCTACAGACATGTCTATTTACCAATATTTATTGAGTGCTTGTCATATGCTAGGTGGAGTACTGAACATAAAATGAATAAGAGCTCTGCTCTTATTCACAGGGAATAGGGAGAGAAATATAAATGAGACCAAAAACAAAGAAACAAAAGAGATGACTGAACAAACAGAGGAAAGAACCATTATCTCTACTTGAGAAAATTGGGACAGACTCTCTTAAAAAGGAGACAACAATGGGCAAGGGCTTGGGCAATGAGTAGGAACTTGCCAAGTAGAGAAAAGACTGGACATATATACAATGGTAGTAGGATATGATGAGACATGAAAGATTATTATGAACAGTGACACTGGAGATAAGAAGGCAGAAGTGACAAGGAGTAAGGCTGGAGACCTAGACTGTGAAGGGCTCCTATATGCATAGTACTAAGGCATTGGTTCTTATCCTGTAGGTAATAGGAAATAAGTAAGGCCTTTAAACAAGGTAAGATTTATTTAGTAGCTAGACAGGTAAGATTTAGTAGGTAGACAACTCTGGTGACAGCCTGAGTGGAGAGGGGCTGATGGCAGGGAGACCACTGAGAAATCTGCCTTAATAGCTCACACAGAGACGGTAAAGTACTGAGGTGATTTCTATATCTGTGGTGCTTAGATATGCATAGAAAATGTCTGGCAATATATACAACAAATACACAGAGGTTACCTCAGAGAATTAAAATTGGGAATTAGAGGGCTGGGATTGTGGCTCAGCAGTAGAGCGCTCACCTAGCATGGGCGGGACCCAGGTTCGATCCTCGGCACCACATAAAAATAAAATAAAAAGATGCTGTTTCCACCGAAAACTAAATAAAATTGGGAATTAGACGACTGGGGATTTTTTTACATTACAAACTCCTGAAAGTG